GGGACGTTGGGCTGGAAGAGACCTCACAAGGTCTTCTAGTTCAGCCCCCTGCTCAAGGGAGGATCATCCTTGACTAAATCATTCCCACCAAGTGTCTGTCCAAACTTCCTTTGAAAATTTCCAGGGATGAAGATTCTACAGCTTCTCTAGGCAGCCTGTTCCAACGCTCGACCACCCTCATAGTCAGGAAGTTCCTCCTCATCTCCAACCTAAATTTCCCCTGCTGCAGCTTAATCAGCTGGTGTCTCTAATGAACAGCTGGTTTTTCCCTCCCGTGTGAGCCAGATCCTGTTGCCAGTGGGACTTGCACTGGTTTTCACTTCCAAGTGTCACAGTCTGTCAAAACTTTGTTTCGGTGGAAAATGGATTTCAGCACACACAACTTATCCCTCAGTGTTGCAGCCTCTTGGGGAACTTTCTGACCTTTCAGAGAGCATCTGTAAGCTGAAATGCTCTGGACTGGGAATGCCTCTGAAATACCCAAGGGCTGTGGTTCAGTTGCCTCTTGCCCTCCTTCACTTTAATGGGCCAGAGTCTCAGAGTCAGATTACTTCTCTAAGGATCTACCATGGCCAAAGGCTCCCCGGGCATACCACACCCTCCTTGAACAAGAGAGGCCTTGTTGCACCCTGGGAGATGCTGTTCAATGAGGGAGCTGAGGTTATGGAGAAGAACCCAAATTGCAACTCCTGTGGGGCACTCAGTAGCATTTCGATGCTGAAATATCTGCGGTTTCAGCCAACACGGCTTGATATTTCAAATTCCACTGAATGACAGCAGTTTCCAGAGTGGATCAGCTCTCCACATCACCTTTTTTAAGTAGTTTCCCTTCCTCTTCTACTCTTTGTGTGGCAACAAAGACTTACCTGGTCCTTCTCTGGACATGACAGCAAGGTTACTATGGTGTGGACCCCATGTTCCCACACCAGGCTCCAGAAGTCCTCCATGGTCACTTTGTCTGGCCCTTGGATGGCTAGATAGTCTCTCGCTGAATTGCAGCCCTGTGTGAATAACCAGAGTCTTACCTTCCCCAAGGAGAGGTAAACAAGGGAGAACATGGGGTCTCTCTGCCAGAAAGGCCTGGGGGGAAGAGCAAGGAGTAGGGAAAGGGAGAAAGGCCCAGTTTATCAAGAGGCCAAGGGAGAGAGAGAACATTAGGCACCCAGCACAGCACACCACAGCACAGCACAGGTTGGGGCATGCTGAGCCTCTCAGCCAGAGCCACTTGCTCAGGCTCCCAGAGATGCCTTCGCACACCAGAGAGACCCCGTCAATGCTCCTAGTGGCAACAGCTGCCAGTGGTAAATACACAGCTGCAAAGAAACAGGCCACAGAGACCTGTGAACACTGCTTCCCATGTGAAAGGGTTGGGTTGAGCTTCCTACAGGAGCCGGGGGAAATGCTTCCTACAGGAGCCAGGGAAAATGCTTCTTGCAGGGCAGAGAGGCAACCAATGCTACCTCTGGGGATCAGGTGGGAAGGGACAGAGTGGTGCTGCCCAGGGTCAGAGTGGGGCAACTCACCGGGATGAGCCATGCCTGGAAGACATCCGAGAAGGGGCCTTGTTCCAGCGGTGAAAACTTAATCCTGGCACGATCATCTACAAAACAGGCTAGGCGTAAGGGGCTGCGGCAGGCGAGCCAAGTTTGCTGGGACCCTACCAGCAGATCAGCCTCCCACAAGGCTCCCTGCTCCCAGACACACACTGCCAGCCCATGCCAATGAGTCCCTGTCATTTCTGCACTGGGGCTTCCTCTTCCAACCCCTCCCCGGGGTACACAGACTCCTCTACTGACATGGGGCACACTCAGCACAAAGAATGCACCTCCGTCCCAGTCTGGCACACTCATCTCCATGCACAGCTTGTCTGCCTTCAGGGCTTGTGAGGATGCCAGAGGAGGTGCTGGAGCTACCGCTACATGCAGACACCACAGTCCTTGGGGATGAAAAGGGTGAGGGGCACTTACATGCCAGAATACCGGAACAGGGATGGGTCTGCTGGCTGCCTACAAAGGGTGCAGCAGAGCTGGCTTCATCCTTTGCCACCTCCAGAAGGATCTGCCAGAGGGAACCACAGAGAAGGTGTAAGGCAGGGGTTGGCAAAATACAGCCTATGGGCTGGATCCAGCCTGCCAAGGGATTTTGCTCAGCCTGCAACAGATCCCTTGGCCCCACCTGGCCCTGGTGTGGGGGGCATCCTGGGCCATGGCACCTGCAGCCAGTCCCACCATCCCCAGGTGTGCAGTGGGGTGGGGGCAGCACAGCAGCCGGACCCTACATCCCAGCAGCCCTGGTGGTGGCTCCTTCTGGCTGCTGCTGCTAGTGTTTCTGCTGCTGCCAGACCTGGCCCCACTGCCCAGGCAACCTCAGCCTGTCCGCCCCGCACCTACTACCAAGAGTGCCACGTGAAGCGGGCGAGCAGGGTCTCTACAGAGACCAGCTGGGACCCCTGCGAGCAGGGCGTGCTCATCCAAGTGGATGGGATGGGGCAGGGAATGGCATCCGGGAGTGGGACGGTTGGGTGGGGGCCAGGATCGTGGGGTAGTAACAGAATGGAGCTGAGGCCCAGGGCCTGGAGCAGAGCTGAAATCTGCTCCCTGCATGTCCCTACAATTTCACTTGTTGTCTGTCTCATGGCATCTAGTGCCACAGACACCATTTCCATGGCAGCCAGGTTTGGTGGGAGCCTGCCTGGGCAGGACCTTCTCTGGAGGGTACTTCTTGTGTGCCCTGAACCAAAACAGCCTGTTCCAGGTGCACACACTCCCTTTACCCTTCCTAGTGTGCATGGGCTGTCTGGCCCCTGACCCCCTGGCATGGCACCGCTCCAGACTGCTCCTACCTCATACTCCCGCAGGAAGCCTGCTTTGGATTTGGCTGACTTCTG